GTGGTGGCTTCGTGGGCCGGCAGCCGACCTTGTGCACTCGGGGGGGGAGGCGCCCGGTTTCACGCCTGTTCAGCGTCGGAATCGCTTTTGCGCTTTCCTTTACGCCTCATGGCGTCTTGGTCATCCGGACCTATCCCGTCCTCTTCTCGGGTACGTTCGAAAATACGTGTCATTGTCGTTTCAACGCATGCTGTCAACTCACGTGTCATACTCCGACACACGTCCTCCACCCACGCGCGCTTTCCTTTACGGCCGCTCTTACTCATTGCACCCCACTCCTCGTCATCGTCCTGATCGTCCTCCATCGCAGCCGCCGCTCTCGCCCTCGCCGTCGTGCGGCCACTGCGGAGCGAACCGCCTGGGCCAATATTCAGTGAAGTGGCTGCCCTGCGGGGATGAGGCGACCCACGGGGACGCTTCGTCTGCGGTGTGGAGCTTGAAGGCTTCGACGGCGACGGTGAAGCGCCACCGGCAGGAGCGCTCTTCGCGGCAGTGGGCGTGGACTGCATTGCAGGTGGTGCCGAATGAGGCAGGATAGGACCTGCGCACATGAGGTTGTAGGGTTGGTGGGTTGGAACGTGCGGGTTTTGTACGTTGAGCAATGTACGTCTCAATGTATCACTCATTTGCGGATTAATATTACAAGCACTTGCCTATGAGAAAACCATTCTTACCAGCGTCGGCAGTTGAGTCGTTCCCCGTGGCACTCACTGGTGCCGCTGGCAGCACGCGCGCGGATACGGTGCGCGGTGTTGTTGGACCGCTGTCGCTACCAACGAGCGGGGTCACCGGTGCCGCTTCTTCGGTCTCAGTCATGGGTGTGTCGGCGGGTAAGTTCGGACCGTTCACAGTGGGTTCGTCGGGACCACTCTCCACAGTGGTTGTTGGGCGGACGGTTTCGCGGTCCCGCCACATTTCGTCCGCCATCTCGTACCATAAGGGGCACCCTTCTGGCAGACCCTCACCAGATTTCGTCCACACACCACGCCATCGGTTCCAGCACGCCTCCATGCGACGCAGCTTCGGGCGCAGGTGGGATACAGGATGGCGCCACCGTGGATTGCGGGCGAGCAAGTTGCGATGGAGCTTGGCGAACTGGTTCTGTCCCTGCATTCCTCGCATGGAGCTCCATTCTCCTTTAACGTGCAGTTCGTATCGCTCCTGCATCAGCAGCATCTCGTCCTCCTTACTCCAGCGCGGCTGCGAAGAAGTTGTACGCGAAGTCGACGGTGCGGAAGTGCCTCCAGACTCCACGTTCGTCCGCGCGATGTTCGGGTCAAGCTCCTCATCTTCGTTGGCAGAGCAGACCTCTGGGGCTTCTTCGCCAACACCGTAATCGTCGTAAATCCCGTATGGTGAGTCGGGACGGGGCAGATTATTAACCCACCAACTAGCGGGCCGTTCCCATGGGTTAATGTGGCGAGAGGATGATTCGCCACGTGTACGAATTGGTGGCGGCATCGGGTCATTGTGAGAGGCTTGAGTGTCAGGGAGATTTGGTGGGTTGCTGCCTCTAGTGGAGTCCCCGGGTTGGTCGTTACCACTAGGTGATGCCATAGCTAGTCGGCGCTTCAATCAGTGGAGTGAGTGATCTGGCTGTGATGTTCGTTCTATTTTTATTTCTGTTCCACGAGGGTAGACTTGCGTGCTTGTTGGGGGGGGGGGGGGTTGCGCCTGTTGCATGGGATTGACGGAGCGCATGGGCAAAGACGCAGCGCACCTGAAATTGGTGCGCTGTGCATTTGAGCCTGTCCAGACGTTGTGTACGTGCGGTGGTGACGTGAACGTGGTTTCTGTTTGGCGTCGCATGCGGAGTCTTGCGACACCTGCTGTCAACGTCGCAACGACGGGGCGGGAACGTGGCTGATTTCGAGTCGACTCGATGTTGAAAGCCGAGTCGACCACTTTTACGGCCATCAAATTCGCATGACATTCGCGAAATTTGCGACTTTCGCAACGGAGCTCGTTAATTTCGTGAATGTGTTACTTTCGCCAATTCGGCCAGTCGGCTTTGTGGCCGAATATTTGTGTCTGCCGATTTTACACGCCCTAAGGGTACATTCTTGGCTCGTGTCAGACATAAGGTCAGACACAAAGTGGAAGCTCGGACGACCTGAAGTGACTCACGGTGTGTCTTCCGAACCTCCCACTTCGTGTCTGACACGAGCCAGGAATGCACCCCTCACCCTGTACCTGTCACACGTTGACCTTTCCTTTCCTACTGCCGTCTACCTTTTTGCTCTTCTCTGTACTGCATAATTTAATATTACACCATTAAGCCATCCTATGCTTCTATATGTTGTTATTTTCCATTTTCCAAGCACCTATAATCTAATGCTGGTATGTCGATACTCCTGAACTCTTTCAAAGCGCATCTTTTGAAGGGCATATCGTTTCAACCAAGCAGGTGGTTCCACTGGTGGGCTAAAGAGTAGTAGCAGAATTCGAGGACCCCCACTTGAAAGCACCATATGGTCTGCTGCTGCACTTTTTACAAGTCGACTCCCAACTCTTTTGTGTGGCATATCCTTTCAACCCGGCAGGTGGCCCCACTGGTGGACTTGGGTGCGGTGGGAGAATTCAAGGACTCTCGTTTGGAAGCACCGGATGCTTTAGTGCTGCAGTTAGTTCGCCTTGCCCTTTCCTGCACTGCCATGCCTGCGTCCTCTCGCCCCTCTATGCTCCACGTGCTGGGCGAGCTGGTGAACATGCAGCAGGAGATGCTTGAGTTGCAGATGAGCACGCCATTTTCTTCCACGGACAAGGAAACTGGAAGTTCGAGTGGCACCTCTGGTTCCAATGTCGAAATGGGTTCTGTGGAGCGAGGGGGTATGTCAAGTGGCTCCTTCTCTTTTGATTTCTCTCAAACATCTGTTCGCTTCTCTAGCCCCACTGCTGAAATGAGCTCTGAGGAGCAAGGGGTTACGTCGAGTGGTTCCTTAGCTTCTGATCCGCAGCAAAAGTCTGGTACCTTCTCGAGCCTCATTGTTGAGACTGGGCGCTGAGGGGAGCACTGGGGGATGTAGAGTGGCTCGTTCTCTTTTGAGGCGCCTCGAAAGCTTGTTGGCCCCTCTGGCTTCGGGGCTGGCAGTGTGAAGGAAGCGAGTGTGTACAGCTGCTCCTCGTTTGAGGTGCCCAAGTGTGTTGGCTCCACTGGCCTCGCTGCTGACAGGGCCTGTGTGAAGCAAGTGGGTACTTACAATGGCTCCCCGTTTGATGCACCTCTAAAGCCTGTTGCTGGCCTCACAGCAGAAATGCCCCATGGGGAGCAAAAATCTTTTTAGAGTGGCTTTTGAGAATTCCCAAAAAGCACCTGCAGTGACGGGTGTGGACTGGCTTCTCTTCTAGCTGCCATAGAAGTGCAAACTTGTGTCCCATTGTATTCCTTATAAGTGTAAATATTTTTTGCATGCCGTATGAGTGATGCATAGGGGGAGAGGGAGGCTGGGTAGTGTGCTTATCCAAGCAACAAACGGCTTGAGAGGGATACCGTGCCAATATCAACTTTAAGTGGATTGTGAGGACAAATCATCAGGATGTGTAGTGGATTGTCAAATGGCACCATTTCAGCATTGGCCCTTTCGACTTGACAAGATTCTGGCTTTGATCGATGTCGGCATTGATGGTAGCTCCTACAATGCTGCTGGCTTAAAGCTGGTAGGGAAAATAGTGACTCAACCTCCCCCTCCTAGAAGTACCGCAAATGTTTTTGGAAAGTACCGTAAAAAACCATATGCTACTACCCCGGGACACTACAACAACTCTCCATACATGGCTGACTGAGTGTGAGACAGCACTGCCACAGGACGCGTTAGATGTGCTGGAGAGGGAGCGTCTGGAACCGAGGGGACTGAAGCTGCAGCATGCGCTTGCAGTGAAGGTGCAGGGGAGTAGATATGCCGTGCAGGTGCAGGCGACCAGGCGCATGAGCCCTAATCATCTCTCAGGACATACGCAGCGTTTCTTCTCTCTCACAGGGTACGGCACTGGGGGCTGGCTTACTGCACTCCTAGTTGAACCAACCCGCCGCATAGGGGCCGAGAATTTTGCTAACGCTGTCTGTTTCCGCTTAGGACTTCCCTTCTCAACGCCTAAGAACTGCGACTGCTCGCACCACACCGTGATCACGAATCCCTGACTGCCGTATCACCTATTTCGCTGCGGCATGGGCAAACATTGGATCGATAAGCGGATAAAAAGATCCAACATTGTGCAAACCGGCGAGACACAATCGGCTTCTTCCCTCTGGCCATGGAGACCTACGGATGCCCGTGCACGGACCTTCGGAGGCCGTCACTCGCCAGCGTGGCCTTCGGCCGCGCGTGAGGGGTGGCAACGAGAGAGGGAAGGCACTCGATATAACAAGTGGTACAACATGCTTCAGTAACACCCTACTGCAACAGCAACACCCCCAGGCGAGGAGTAACCGCCATGGGGAAGCCCAAAGCCAAGGTCAGCACCAAGGAGGCCGGCAAGGGAGGAATGGCAGCTACTCTGCCAAGATCGGGACCAGCCTCCGTCCAGGGCCCAAAATATCAGGGTAAAAGACCTTTTTTTTTCCTTTCTGTAGGCCACTTTTTTTCAGTTACCCTGATCAAGGCAGGCTAACCGTACAGTCATCCTTTCTTCAAATCTGTATTTGTGTATGTATTGGAATTTTTACCCTAAGCCATCAGGGTGGGATAAGCTAAAGCCGCTATTAGCCAGGGTGGCCTAAAACCAATTTTGGGCCCTTCTCCCGTCCATCCAGCGCAGGACGGATGTGGCTGCTGGTACAAGGTCGAGTGACGACTGCCGTGCGGAAGCAATCAATCGGCGGACCGCCGAAGGCCCGGGTCCAGAGCCAGCACCGGGCGAGCCAGGCGCAAGGCCAACCAGCGGAAGCCCCTCAAGGCGCCTTCCGTGCGAGCAAAGGGTGCACAACATCCCAGTTGCTGTCACCACAGCACCCGCCTGCTCCTCCTGCAGCGATTCGGGGGAAGGAATTTCCAGACGGGCCAATGCAGAGTGGAGCTGATAAAAAACTGAGGCGAGCAACCCAAGACATATCGCCACATGCCCAACGCGCTGCTCGACGCGTAGCATCCGCTCAACAGGAGGATCCACCGGCTCCAACGCTCATCAAGGGTCGCAGCAGGAAAGGCACCAGGTGCTGCAGGCGGCGGCGGGGGGGGGGGGGGGGGGGGTGGGGGGGAACGAAGACTTCCCACGGTATCGGAATCTGGTGCCCCTCGAAAAACAACTGCGGGAACGGGCCCAGGAGGGGAGGTGGCACGGGATCAAGCACCGGTAACACCGACGGCACCGGAGAGGGTGGCTACTGAGGACCTGGCTGGAGTGGCTGCGGCTGGGGCGGCGGAGGCTGTGTCGGTGGGAACGGCGGCTACTAATGCTGTGGCGGATGCGGGGCTGTCTGTCGGGACTCCCGCTGCCTCTGGCGGCACCTCAGTTACACCCTCTGCCATTACCCCGGTTGCTCTGTTGCTGGATACGGAGCGGGGACTGGCGGCGGAGCGGGGACAGGCAGTGGAGGCGGCAGTGGCTGCGCCACCGGTACCGGCAACTGCGGCTGTGATTGCATTGGTTGAGGGACGGGGGGGAGGCCGTACCGAGGAGGACGCGGCGGCTGGCGCTGTATCCGCCGGAACATCTGCTGCTGCCGGGGGCGTCGACACGCAGGAGCACGGCCAGGCGGTGGGTGGTAAATCGGGTCCTCGGACCGGCGCTGCTTCTTGCGCCGCCTGCGGGAAGCTGAAGGAGACGCTTCGCGCCCAGCCAGCGAAGAGGAGGCCCGGAGCAGGGCTGGGACCTGGCTCCCCGAGACCCCTCCTGGGCTGGCTTCGGCAAGGGCAGTTGCCACGAGAGCCAGGGTGTCAGTTGACATCGTTGGGAGCTGCAACAGCACCTGCCACCACGGAACAGCCGTCGATAACATGAACGTCGGTGGGGCCAGACGGTAGTCCCGTTCTTGAGGTGACGGGTCCGGGAGTAGCGGCAAGCGCAGGCGAAGGCACGGCAAGGACACGGGGAACCAGGCGCTCGACGAGGCTGGGCGCTATTTCCTGGGGACCGCCACGTGGCGGGCGCACCCCGTGGATGCTGGTGGGACGCGGGGGAACAATCAGCGCTACGGGAACCATAGGTGGCGCTGGGCGCGGGCAGCGTGGGGGGGCACGCGGAGGTTTCACGGGAGGACGTGGAGGGCGCAATCTGGTGGCCAGATCCGAGATCCCAGTTAGAACGGGCACTTGTCGAGAATGTCACAACAGGCCTGAGCATGCTGCTACTCCAGCGAATGAGGAGCAGGGGGAGTCTGACAACTCTAGGGCAGACCCAGAGTTTATGTGTGGCGAGGAAGAGGCGTATGAAGAAATCTCCTTCGACGAGGAGACCACCCCCAGAAAGAACACCTCTACACCACAAGCTGGAGAGGTGGATGGGGGGATCCAACCAGGTCATGTGGAGGGAGGAGAAGCTGCCCCGGCAGAGACGGATGTGCCTTCGCCGTTTGACCTGGCTAGCGATGACGCCATCTGGCACATGGCGGGTGGTTGGAATGTGGACGTCCTTCGGAGGGGAGATCAGCCGTTCCTTGTGCGCTGCTTAACCCCACAACTTCTGGATCACTGTTGTCTGTGCATGCTGGCCGCACTCCTCCGCCTGGGAAAATATCCCAACTGTCCAGGTGGATGGATGGTGCTGCAATTCCTTCCGAGGCTCACCCTCCGACCAGCCCCCGAACCTGCCGTGGGGAGTCGCTGGGCAGCTTATGAGGCTCGGCTGCACAAATTCCAGCGGCGGAAGTGGGGTGACCTTTTCGAGGAAGCGGGGGTCATTCTTGATGCAGCCCTGGTACAACACCAGGCCGATGAGGAAGGCATGTGCCTTAGGGCAGAGGGCCTGGTGAAAAAAGGCCACATATTGAAAGCTGTGGCGGCGTTACCAACAAGCTCGCTGGCGGAAGCAACCTCAGCAACACTCAAAGCACTGCAAGCGAAACACCCTGTCGCGGAAAAACCAATCCCTGCGTGGGTTACAGGAACCACCAACTCTGACCTTGCTGTCCCGCTGAACACACTTCGCGAAATCCCGGTGAAGTGTCCGAATAGGTGGGTGCTGGTCCATCAGGTACCTGTTTCGAGTTTCTAAGGGATCTCGCCCTAGCTAACGAAGAGCTGCTACTACTCTTCGCCAGTGTTGTCAATCGGCTACTTAACACTTTCAGGCTCCTCGTGAGTGATCTACGACTGCCTTCCCGACTTATAGCACTTGAGAAGCCGAACGGAGGGGTTCGACCGATCACGATAGGGGAAGCCCTGTTACGGGTTGTAGCGAAGGCAACGCTTCACACGTTAGGACCAATAATCAGAGAGTTCTTACCGGTTCAGTTTGGTGTGGTGGTCCCAGGAGGTGCGGAGTGCAATATCCACGTCGTACGCTCCCTACTCTGCGACGATGAAACACACATCGCTCTCCAGTTAGACGTCGAAGACGCTTTTAACATCGTCGAACGCTGTGCCTTCTTAGCATCACTGAAGTGGTCGAACCTCAACCCGTTACTTCCACTCGTACGCAACCTCTACAATAACCCCTCGCGCTTGCTCACCGACGGTCGTCTCGGCGTTGACTACATCTAGAGCTCGCGAGGCGTTCGGCAAGGAGACCCCTCCGGTTCCCTGTTGTTTGCAGTGGCAATTCAATCGGCTCTTCTGAGTGCCGCTGCGATAATGCCAGAAGTTGCTGTTGTCGCCTACACGGACGACATCACCATTTTCAGCCCGCAAGAAGCAGCATGTCGGGCCTTTGGCAAGATCGCCAGCGAACTCGTCGAATGTGGGCTACGTTGCAACGTCTCTAAGCCATCTGCATGGAGTGCTACAAACGATGGAGAGAATGAGGAGCTACCGCTAGGCTTAGCTTCGAACCCAGGCGGTATACGGGTCCTCTGCAGCCCTATCGGCAGCGAATATTTCTGCACCACCCAGGTCCAGAGGCACTGGAGTAAGCTGCCTCACCTCTTCCCCTCGTCTCTCAGCTCAACCCGCAACACGCCATGCTGATAGTCTCCCGCAGCATCTTTTGCCGTATCTCATACATGCTGCGGACGACGCCAGCGACGACCCTGAGCACTGAGGAATGGAGGGAGTGGAGTGGAGCATTGGTTGGCGCGGCACTTACGGCAGCGAAGCTCCGCATCCCCACGTTGGAGCTGGAGCAGAGTCTGCTATGGCGACAAGCTAGTCTTCTGATTCGGCTAGGCGGCCTTGGTATCATAGACCCTGTCTCGTAGGCCCCAGCCGCCTACAATGCCTCTGTCACAGTTGCACACACCCTACTCCAGCACCTGAATCTACCCCTGGACCGCCTATTACACAGGGCGACGGCCCTGCTTTTCCACGACTGGTCCCCGCCGCCGCCAGACATCAACACACTGTCTCATCTAGAGGAGAAAATGCCGGCCCAGGCATAGGTGGCACTAGGGGCCTACAGGACGGGGAACATGCGCAGGGACACTCCAAGTTCATCAACCAGCAGTGCGCGGATGAGCTCCTTAGGGACAATGTGATCGATCGGCCTGGCAGTGACAGAGGCCACGCGCTACGGCTGATAAGTGATGGGGGCCGGCTACATGCGGTTCTAACGAGAGCTGACCTCTCCATTTCCCCTGGTCAGTTCTCGTTGGCCGTAGGCCTTCGCTTGGGCATGGAGCTTCCAGTTGCCGAGGTGTGCCCGTGCAAACGTGACAACTCCGTGTTTGGAGACAAGAGACCCCGGAACCATCTACTGGTAGCGACCATCGGAATGTATCACTCACAGCTACCCTGGGAGCGCAAGAGGGATAAGGCGGCGGCAGTGCACCCACCAACCGAGAGATCAGCGGCAAAGGAGGCGTTAGCACGAGCCATGCCGAGGGAGATTCAGGAGCACGATGAGCTGCAGCATGAACAAGGGCATCCGCTGGAGAGGCGGTGGGTCTACTCGTGGGAAGAGGAGGATGAGAGACCAGCGGTCTATGCAGAGCAAGCCGACATTTGGCTCCCAGGGGATTGAGAGGAAAAAGCGGTGGATAAGAAGCGTGAGGACTTCAGCGGGCTAGAAGAAGCGATCGAAAGGCAGAGGAGCAGGGAAAGCTACGAGCAGGAATTTGGGTCTGGGGACTTCGCGCTCATGGCAGCAACCAAGGAGAAGGAACATGCACAAGAAGCAACGCAGGAAGCAGGGGAGGAGGAGGGCGCAAAAGGGGCGCCGCGTAAGATTGCGAGGTTGGAGGAAGTGGAGCAGCCGAAGCAGGAGCCGAAGGAGCCCTCACGGAAGGAAGAGGAGAAGAAGTGGGAGATAGAGGAAGGCATGGCGGAGGCAGATATAGAGGAGCTGAAGAGAGTGCTGGCCAAGCACCGGCTGCTGCTGCTGCCAGTCCTTGTACATGACGTCCTCCACAAACTTGACGTCTGACCACCGTCTTCTTGCTCTTGGGGTCCCACATCAGCCACCCCTTTGAATCAGGAGCCATCCTAAGATGGACGGCCCACACAGCAGCAACTTCCAGCTTGTGCCTCTGCTCCTTAGGCACCATCACAAGCCCCATGCAGCCCCACACCCGCAGCATGTCAATGGATGGCTTCTTCCCAAGCCAACGCCCGTACTGCACCCAATGCTTGTCGCCAACATGCGTCAAGACCCTATTCTTGACCGTGATGACATGGCGAACAACTTCAGGCCAGAACTTGTAGGCCAGCAGCCCCCAACAAGGTCTTAGCCGCCTCGCCAATGGTCCAGTTGGCACGCTCAGCAATGCCGTTCTGCTGCGGTATTTCAGGGCAGGTCAGCTGGTGTCGAATGTCGTCCCCCTTGAGAAACTTGGTGAATTCCGCTCCAAGGAACTCTCCACCACGGTCGCTCCTCAGCACCTTCACCAGCCGCATCGCTTGCCGCTCCACCATCGGCAACCAATACTCCTTGATCGCTGATGCAACATCACTCTTCTTGGACAAGGGATGTGCCCACGTGAAACGGCTCCATTCGTCCACCATGGTGAGGAAGTACAGCACTCCTCCAGTCCCCTCTGTCCTCATAGGACCCCGCAGGTCCATATGCACCACCTCCTATGGCGCCTTCGCCGATCCCTCCGCATGTGGAAACGGGAACCGCGCAAACTTGTTTTGCATGCAAGCCTCGCAGCTACCATAGTGAGCGCCATCTCCTTGCAGTTACAGCCCATGCACGCACTTCTCCTTGTGCATCACCTCCAATGTAGATACAGCCACATGTGCGAGCCGCCGATGCCAAGTCTCCCAATCTGCTTGGCCCGTGGTAGCCAACACCTTCACTGCCGTGCTTCCTCCAATCAGCTCGTCTCCTTGCACACCTTGCTCCTCCTCCTCAGTGACGCTCTCCTCCATAGATGCCGCGGCTGCCGCCTTGCCCGCTTTCCACCAAGGGAGGACCGAGATCTGCCACATGCGCTTGTGGACATCTCCCTTCCGCTGCAGGTCCCAAATGAGGAGCTCATCATTGTAGGCACGATAGCGCTCCGAGCCAATCGTCTCAGTGTTCACACCCGCATCTCCCAATCGGCCGGTAGAAATCAGGTTCGCGCACAAGTCCTGCACTTACAGCACGTTCTTCAGCCCCACGAGCTCTCCATCCGCTCCCATGAACTTGGCGCATCCAATGCCCATGACCATGGCCTTGGCGCCCGTCGCGGATGTGACCATAGAAATGGGTGCGGGCTGAATTTCATCGAGTAAGTCCGCACGAGGAGTCATATGCCAAGCACACATAGCACGAGCACTCGGCAGGACATTAGGATGACATGCACTCAGAATGACGTGCATCCAACAGGCGACAGTGACTGGAGTGTGCAGTGGCGTGAGGTCGGTGCAGTCGCGACAGAAACAGCTGGACGCTCTAGAGTCTAGGGTGCAAGAAAGTTGTGC